AATAGCTAAAGATGGAGCTTCCATATGATCTAGCAATTCACTCCCAGGTATTTATCCAAAGGACACAGAAACATTAATTCAAAAGGGCACCTGTACCCCTGTTTATAGCAGCACTATTTACAATAGCTAAGTGGTGGAAACAACCCAAATGCCCAAAAATGGATGACTGGATCAAGGAGATGTGGTATATGCACACAATGGAATATTACTCAGCAATCAAAAAAGATAAACTCATGCAATTTGCAGCAACATGGATGGAGCCAAAAGAAGATCATGCTCAGCGAAATAAGTCAGAAAGAAAAAGAAAAATACCGGATAGTCTCATTCATAGCAGGAATTTAGAAAACCTTAATAAGGGACAAAGAAAAACACTAATATAATAAAGTGAAAATCAAAATCAACAAGCAACTATAAAACAGAGACACACTACAGGGATGCAGGAGGAGGGAGTAGTATCAAAACAAGTGGCATGGGAATTGTATGGGGACTATAACCAAGATGAAAATGCATACATTGCACAAAAATGAAAAATGATGTAAAGAATATATATAAAATAAAATAAAAATTCTCAAAGAAGAAATAAAAGTACCAAAGATTTCTACTTAGTGCAAATGCCCAAAATTCAAAACAGAATCCATAGTTACAGAAAAATAATAATGTAGTAAGCATAAATAAGTATAGTTCATTCCAGGAATTTTAGAAGTGTCAATAAAAGTAAATCTTTTAAAACATAAATGTTACAGAGGATAGTGGAGATCTGTTCTTTGTCTTTCTATTAACAACTATTGATTGTTCTTGGAGAAATATTTTCTTTAGGTGGGGCTGTAATGTAATCCAGAATAGCTAAATAATAAATCCTTAAAGTTTTATTGGAAAAATAGGGGCTCCCCAGTGGCGCAACAGTTGAGCGTGGGGCTGCGAAGCTGCCCACAGCCTCTGCAGCGCCGGTTCAATCCCCAGCCACGGGTTGATGGTCCCACATGGCATGCAGACCTCTCCTGCCATGCCTGCTGCTCCCCTCAGCAGTGTACTTCCTCAGTCTGCCTGTTCTGCAACGCGTTCTGGTGCTAGTGAATTCTCTTACCCTCCCACGCTTCTGACTGTACCCAGTGTTTGTATAAATAAATATTTTTTTTAAAGATTTATTTATTTATTTATACAAGAACCGGGGTACAGACCAGATTTGCGGGAGGGTGAGAGGATTCACTGGAGACAGAGCGGGGAACAGAACAGGCAGACTGAGTGAAGTACACTGCTGAGGGGAACAACAGGCGTCGCAGGAGAGGTCTGCCGCACCATGTAGGACGCTCGCCAGCTGGCCGGGATCGAACCGGTGCTGTAGAGGCTGCAGACAGCTTCACAGCGTGGCACTCAACTGCCTGTGCCATCAGGGGAGGCCCTAAATAAATCTTTAAAAAAAAAAAGTTTTATTGGAAAAATAAATAAATAAAAATGTATGTTTTTCTGGAATACTTCAAAAAGATGCCAAGGAATCCACTGTATTTATTTTTCTTTCTTTTTTTTTTTCACCGGACCCCCAAACGCTTATTTCCCGCTACTGAGACGCTACCCCCGTTTACGGGGCGAAAGCAGGGGCACCGGGAAGCGGCCAGCGGCAGGGGCCACTCACCGCGCCTTAGTCGCGGCGCAGCTGCTGCTCGCCCCGGAAGCGCACGTGCAGGCCATAGCGCAAAGTGCCGCAGGGCCCCCAGCCGTCGCCATGGTGAAGGGGCACGCGCGGCCCAAGGAGTCCACTGTATTTCAATACATTTCTGCACTGCCCGAATTCAGAAATGGAGAGTGTGCCTTTGTCAGCAACTTAGTCCCCCTGTCATCTAGAGTTTCTTTAAGGCACTTCTCCCACACACCCCTCTACTACATTTTGATCTCCTCTAACTCCTTCAGAACTTTTCTCCTGCCCTTTCTCTGGAAAACAATTATAAACATGCTAGGATTTCCCTTTTCCAATCTTCGTATTGCACCCCTAAATTTTTTTTTTTAAAGATTTATTTATTTATTTATACAGGCACTGGGTACAGTCAGAAGCACGGGAGGGTGAGAGAATTCACCAGAGCCAGAGCGGGGAGCAGAGCAGGCAGAAGGACCGAAGTACACTGCTGAGGGGAGCAGCGGGCGGCAGGAGAGGTCTGCACGCCATGTGGGACCCACCTCCGGTGGCCGGGGAGCAGCCAAGGATCGAACCGGCGCCGCAGAGGCTGCGGGCAGCTTCGCAACACAGCGCTCAACCTCTGCGCCACTGGGGAGGCCCACCCCTAAAATTTTTAAGATGACCTTTCAGCAAACAGATATTTCTCCTAAAATGGAAGGGGATATTTCTGAAAAGTCTTCTTAATATTTTATCTTCTTTCAAACACACATAAACACACAGGGCATTGCATATAATTTGCAGATTGTCACAGGCTCAAAACAAGGAGGCCAGAAACACCACAGAAGCTCTGAACCCCAGATTTAGAACAAAGGCTCTAAACAACTGTTTACTCAGAAAACATAAAATCTTAGAGGGAAAATCCAGCTCGGAAGTAGATCAGAACATGATGAAACAGAGAACCAAGAAGAAATAGGAAAACCAAAACTAACTCCAAAATAGGACAAGAATTCTGGATCCAGAAGTGCGGCAGGCTGAGCCTCCCATGCTGTCTCTTGACATGGTCCGGGCATTGGGGGAGACTCCCGAGAAGTGGGGAGTTCCTGTGCTCCCCCAAAGAGGGAAAGTTGTACTTCCCAGAAGAGGGGAGTTCTTGCAATTCCCAAAGAAGACCTGAACTAGGGAGTCTCCATGGCAACACCTGCTAAAGCTCTCATCTTTGTTCTTGGTTAATGGTGAAGTTAGTCATTTATTGACATGTGAAAACCTAATTGGGACCTAGACATTAATTGATTTGTTATTCTTACACTTGAATTAGTATCAAAGAAAGTAAATAATGCAAAAGGTATGGGAAAGAAATGTTCCAGCCCTGAGAACTAAGGAGAACAAGATGCCCTGAACCAGCTGTGCTTGGAACCCATAGCCTGACGGGGCGGGGGGGGGGGGGTGTGTGTGGAGTGGGGGTGTGAGGGGGGTAGGAGGGGTGTGCACGTTGGTGGCAGCAGTACATTTCCTGGTGTGTGCAAGGAGTCAATAGTTTGCAGGCCGTGTGGAGGTTAGGAATTTCTAGTTAGGAGTTAGACTTCAGTAGAACTTACTTAGATTTGATGAGCTGTTTTAGACCACTTTGAAGTAATCAATATATTAACCAAGTTAATTGAGTGCTAGGAGATAGATTGATTTAGTAATTGAATAAAGAATAGGAATTTTACATCCACTTTGTAACTGAGAAAGTTTAATTGTTGCCAAATGTGCTGTCTTGTATGATTGATCATGTTAGTAAATGAGCTGTACCTAGGAAACTAATTGTTCTTAAGGTTACCAGAGAATTGCCCTTTAAGTGTGAGACCTAGGGAGTCTTTACATGTTCATGAGAAAATATGTAATGATTGTCTCTGTTCTGCCTCGATGCTTACACTGATGTAATCCCACGGCTCACCTTAAGGTATAAAGACCTGGTGAGACCCTCAGTAGGAGATACTTGCAAGAGATAAGGTGTCTGTGTCTTCCTAATCCTACCTCGCTCCACTTCCCCTCAGCCCTCTGAGAAAGAGAAAAAACTTCACCTACTCCATCCTCTCCTTTCTGAGATCCCTGATACGACTTCTAGCTGGAGCTGGTCTCCAGCACAGAAGGATCTGTAACCAAGGTCCCCTTAGCATGACCTGAATCCTAGGCAGGTAAGCAGGATGTCTGGAATCTTCTAGAGATCAGCAATTCCTGACCCACACAGCTGTGACCCTGCAGCAGCCTCTCCTCACACTGACCTCCCCACTGTTTCCACCCACAGGAAGGACCAGGTGACAAGGAGTCAGAGGATGTCCTGACCCCACATGACCTGTAGGGAGGACAGGTCTGTGCTCACAAGGAGGACCCAGCATTTCTCAGATGAAGGTTTGTAAAGGGTCAGGAACCTGCACAGTGCAGGTTTTCTGATCCCATGCAGACCGGGTAAAGGAGTCAGAGTCCTCAGTGGTTTTTTGCAGGTCTTTTATTGGGGTTCACCAGGCATTTGGCAGGCAGGGGTGTTGGGGGGCCGGGAGGCTGGCAGGCCTCCCAGCCCCCAGCAGATCTTCACTCTGTGGGCTCTCTGGCCTTTTCTCGGCTTCTCCTTTGGCTTCTACTGGCTTTCCCATGACACCGCCCTTAAAAAAAGCAGTCTTAGCGCAGGTGTACCCACTTCAGGTGCCCGCCATCAGGCATGCATTCAGGATCACAGGGTTCCCTCATCTATCCTGCTGGCAGGAGGGCAGAAAAGCCTGATACCTTTTACCTTACCCTACAGTCCACCCCCTCAGGGTTTTCTGCCATATAGTCTTCATATGTACAATTTTGTCTCTTAGCAAACATAAACAATGCAGCCATGGCCCATAAAAGCAAATACATCACAATAACAACAAAATACAACAGAACACAAATAAGTCCAGGCAGGGCCCCAACCTAGTGCAAAAGACAATTATTGGTACCAGCAGATGAGCCACCAAATCTGCTGCCGAAGGCACTGCTCATACGAGGGAGGGGAACCACTCACGGCATCTACTGTAACACACCAGGAGCCGTCAGGCTTCCTGGCCTTCTCTGGCTGTAGTCTCGGCTACAAGCTACACACCGCATCCACCCCCAGGATGCACTAGCTCTGGGATTGGTGATTCTATACTGTTGGGGGTAATCGCCAACCCTCAGGGTTTCTGTCTGCAGTCGCTTCAACATTCGACTTTCATAGCCACCAATGTGACTCGCAGACCCCTGCACTCAGGCCAACCCACTGCACAAGCACATGGGTCGGGGATCTAAACTCTACATGCGGCCTCTTTCGGGTCCCCTCTTCGGCTTGGGCTCCACCCCAAGCCATGTTCCCCACCCGTCCCTCAAGGACGGGTTCCTCAGCTCCTCACCCTCACTCGACAATGAGCAGGGCATCCCCCACAGGTGATTTCACGAGACTCACAGGGCTTCAGCATACTCAGGCTGCTTAACAGCCACTCAGGACTTCCCAAACTTAGCATCAGCACCAGCTTTTGCCTTCTCAGTTGGCTTTTCTCCTCTGCCTGGCTGCTGGGCATACACAGGCTGCTTTTAGCCATCAAGGCCCACTGGCCACCCCCAGATTCCCCCCGCAAAAAAAACCTGCCAAGATCCTCTGCCTTCTGGCGGGATTATCAGTTCAAATTCATTAGTCCAAGTCCATTAGCCTCTCCCTGCATCAGCACTGGCGAGCTCCAAATTATGGTCCTCTCTTCCAATGATTCTTGCTGCCTCAGGTGTTGTTGGCTGGTCCTCTCGGGCATCTCCTCTTCCAGCTGAGGTCTCGTCCCACAGCTCCCTGATGGTGTCCATCTTCTGTGCCGCCATGGCGCCTCCAGCGTCGTCACAGGCAAACACAGTCTGTTTCGCCTTAGTCCCTCCAGGTCTTCGGAGGGCTCCATACCCGTATGCATGGATCATCCTGCCGACTTACGCCAATTGTAGGGTAGGAGTGGACCACAGTGCAGGTTTTCTGATCCCATGCAGACCAGGTAAAGGAGGAGTCAGAGTCCTCAGTGGTTTTTTGCAGGTCTTTTATTGGGGTTTACCAGGCATATGGTAGGCAGAGGTGCTTGGGGGCCAGGAAGCTCGCAGGCCTCCTGGCCCCCAACAGATCTTCACTCTGTGGGCTCTCCGGCCTTCTTTCAGCTTCTCCTTCGGCTTCTACTGGCGTCCCCGTGACACCGCCCTTAAAAAAAAGCACAGTCTTAGCGCAGGTGTACCCACTTCAGGTGCCCGCCATCAGGCATGCATTCAGGATCACAGGGTTCCCTCATCTATCCTGCTGGCGGGAGGGCAGAAAAGCCTGATACCTTTTACCTTACCCTACAAGGTTCCAGAGTGAGAGGAGACCAGGGAACCCACCCCCTTCCTGGTGGGGTCCCTGATGGAGAAGGGGCAGAGAGGAGGTTGGGAGGGGATCCCGGGAACCTCAGGGCCACTCACCTGCCTACAGCTGGGCCTTCCTGCAGGCTGAAAGGGAACACACAGGTGAGACCTCAGCACAACCACCTGCTCATGTGATCCACAGGCCCTGATCTCCCCCTGTTCTGCAGGTGAGACTCTCTGGGGGTGGAGGGAGAAGCTGAGAGGTCATGACCTCTTGCCCTGTGCAGACAGCAGGGGGTGGTGGAAAATCCCTGGCTCAGGTCAGGAGCCTGCAGGACAGACTGACCCAGCCCTGCCTGCTGCCGATGTGGGGCTTTGGGCAAGTCACTGAGCAGCACTGGGCCCCAGAATGTACAAAAACTCCTTCACTTTCAGTATTGCTACAAAGATCAACTAAGGTATATAAGAAGATATTTTTTAATATGTATGTTATTTCTTAATTATTATTTTCAGCATATTCTGGGAAATTATGTGAAGATAAAATAAAAACACTACATGTCCATCACAACAGCTCCAGGGTGAAAGTGGCCCATCTCTTTTTCTCAGATGAAGTATTTCTAGAGGTAAACACTCTGGGAGATGGAAAGTCCCCCCACCACACCCAGAGTCCCTGCCCATGCAGCGTCACCTTGTCCTCTCCCATCACTACTGATCAGCATCTTCAGGAACAAGAACAGACTCTCCTGGGGTGGGGCTTGGGGAGAGAGAGCAGGAGGAGGTCATTCTCCTAAACTTAAAGAGCCCATTGATTTATAAAATCTTGGGCAGCTGGCTGTTTCTTCCAGGAGCTGACCAAGAACAAGATGCACTGAAGGCCAGAAAACTAGCATCATGGTGGATAGGTCAGGGTTGGAATGAGAACAGGACATAGGAGACTCCAGGGTCACCACCCACCAGGATCCAAGACTGTGGAGGGGAGGTGGTGGGCGAGGCAGGGAGAAACAGTAGCCAAGTCTGGGAGAAACTGTGGAGCGGGGTCCTGCCTTCTACACATATTTCTATGCAGTGACAAAAAAAAAAAATTAGGTCAGGAGACCCAGGACACCTGAAGCACCACTCAGGTAAGCTGCCTTCCACTGGTCTGAAAAGCAACAGAGGAAACAGGTGAGCTAAGAACCAGAATGTCTCCTATGAAGGGGGCACAAAGTGTTCAGGAGGGAGAGCAGAGCTTCCTGGAGTTCATCTGAAAGAACAGACAAAAAAGCCCATAAACTCCATCCTTAAGTAGAAAATCATTGCACCTAGAAAACCCACCAGAGCAACCTCCTTATCTCCTTGAACTTCTGACTCGAGACCCATCTGAACCTCCAACCTCCAATAATCACTTTGGGACTCCTCAGTCTCCTTCTCTGAGCTCCCTGCAGAGTGGACCCTGGGCTCTGGCTCTGTGGTCAGCTTGTCCCTCTCAGCACCAACTGCCACCACTCACCAGCCTTGAACTATGTCCCACCCTTACCTCTGTCCTTCAGAAACTGCTTGGTCTGCTGATCCTCATCCTTAGCCCAGCACAGATTCCTCTGTACCTGCAGCTCCTGCTTCTTTGTGGAATGTTCTCTCTGGGTGCAGCAGGCAGCCCACAGAAGAGCAGCAAGGTCAGGCTCACCAGGAAATCCGGCTTCCCAGGAGAGGCCCGGAGGAAGAAGGTCTCTGCTGCCAGAGACCCCACAGGGACCCCATCAGGACACAGCCCAGAACAGCCCAGCCCAGCACCCCTGAGGGTGCCGGCCACTCCCTCTGACCCTGCAGGGAGTGGGGAGGGGAGATCAGCACTGACCTTGTGCTACAAAGAGGGCAGCTGATGAAGATCTCAAAGTCTCAGAATCTAAATGAATTTGCAGCAGGGGAGGCTAAGGAGAGCCATCGAGAGCAGCTCTGCCTTTCACTCTCCCAGCCCACACTTTTATTGAAGATATGAACAAAGGAACAAGAAAATAGCATGCAATTGTGTTTGTGCTTATACAGATGAATAAGTTACTGCTGGAACAAGCTTCCCTGGTTAGCAGGGAACATGCACACAAGCCAGCACGTCATCAGAGAACAGGAGTCAGTTCTGGGAAGAAGTTCTGTTTGTGGCACTTCTAATGTCCCAGAACTCCATATGCAGAGTAAACAGGTGTATTCCACAAACTCCAGCTTCCTTTAGGTCAGCGGGCTGCCAACAACCTGGATGATAATGGCCATGGCCTTGTCCTGGCGCAGGACTGGATTGCGGATGGAACAGGTCATGCACCCCACAGAGCTGTCTTTTACCATGAGAGTGGCCTCCACGCTGAACAGCCCCTCAGTATCCTGGGCCTGGACCTTGGAGAACTCCAGGAACTGCTCCCCATGGGGGTGTCTCCACTGCACCTGGGGCTCCAGGAATTAGCCCGAGGCCATGCACACCATGTACAATCTGTCCTCCTGTGGCCCCGTCATGTGCACTTGGGAGCCAGATCCCACAACCGAGGCAGGGAGATGAGAGTCAGGTAGGGCAGGACCCTCCTGTGCACACCTCCAGGGGAGGCTGTCAAGATGCATTCTGGCGGGTGTGGGGGAGACCACCCCTGGGGGAGCAAGCAAGTGACCCCAACACAGAGAATAGAAGGAAGAGCATGAGAGGCTGGCACTCCATCCTGGGCTCCTCCCCCAACCCTGAAGGCAGAGAGGTGATGCCCACAGGAGAGAAGGAATTTCATATCTCTGTCTCCAAACACATAAGCCATAAGGATAAATAAATCAAGGATAAAACTCCAGATCAGTCTAGAGGAACAAAGCATGTATCACCAAAGTTTTCACTGGCACATTCAAACTAGGTCAAACATTATGGTCAACGCAAAATCTTGAGTGGACGACCTCTAATAGGAGGAAATATTTGAAATTACAAGTTTCCTGCAACAGATGCTATTTTGTTTCTTTTGACCACCCAATAATTCTTCCATATCCAAGCTGACCTCACGCCCACCCTCCTGGGGTTCAGGGAGAGGGAATCTCCCCACCAAGGACGACTGTTCCCTGAGCTCTGGGCCCACAGGACACCCTCTCTCCCAAGGTTAGTTCCATCCATCATCCTCTCCCTCTCTCTCTCCTGCATAAGCCTGTTCACACGGGATTAGTTTTCTTTGTTACCTTTCCTTTCCCTAAATATGTAATGATGTTCAAAGCTTTGTAGAATCTTCTTCCCATCTGGAAGAGTAAACTACATAATCCACACACATCTGCATTTTCTCATTTCTCACCTGTGTCCCAGCTCCTCCTCTTCCTCCATGGAGTCTGCTCTGGGTGAGGGAACAAGTCTCCTATTTGACAACCCCCATCTCCATAGTGCTTCCCAGCCAGTCTCCCTTCAGCTCAGGACACTCCTGACTCCAACTACAAACCTCCCTCATGGCTTGGTCATCCTGCCCTTCCAGGCTGTGTATCCCATTTGGGCCTGTGTTGAGCTTCTTTCCTGATGTTTCTTCCTCTAAGTACATAGTCCCTGGGCTCAGTCACTGAGCCTCCCCTCTGCGCACAGCCAGGCCATCTTCTCCGACCTTCTCTGTCTCTGTACCCATCACTTCCAAACATCAAGTGACCAGTTCTGTCCCCTGACCTCCCTCCCTCAGAGCTCCAGCCCTGTGGGTTACATTTACCAGGACACCTCACATGCACCTCACACTCACAATTCTATAACAACTTATGATTTTACCTCATCTGTGGCAAGTTCATTATTTGAAAAAACCCCATTGCTCTCCCCTGTCCAGCCCCTTTCACTCCGCACATCCTGTTGTGTTTCCTCACACTCTGACGCTGAGCTCAGTCTCGTGATTTGTCTACTGAGAGCTGGGCTTGTGTGACTCAAGCAGAGGTTTGAAAAGTCCTTGCACATGAGTTCTGCCCTCTGCATTCGTGTCACAAGGACAAGGTGAGTCCAGGTGCTGGACCATGAAACTCATGCAATGTTGCCCAGTCCCCAGATTCCTTAGTTGCAGCTCCCTCCTCAGCCAATAGCCAGTGACCCCATCATGTGACCAGTCCAGCCCAGGTCACATCTGACCAGCGATGTGTGAGCAAGGCCAGCAGTGATCAGCCAGATCCATCCCAATTTGGCTGAGCTCCCAGTCTGTCCATGGTCATTACTAAATGCCACTGAGACTTGTTATGGCTGTTTGCTACACAGCATCATGGTGACAGGTAATTGACATACAATTATTAATATTCCTGCCACCAAACAACACAGACAAGGCAAAGCCCTGGGAGATTCTGCAGACCCTTCCTTTCTCCAAACTCTTCCAGTCCCCATTCTGCTAATCTGTTGGGTCTTATTTCTAAAGCTCTGGTGTCTAATCCATCCTGTCCACCCACTGCCACTACATGAAGCCAGGAGACCTGCCTTGCCCCATATCTGCACTCCACACCTCCAGACTGTCTCCCCTGCCATGACAGCCAGATGCATCATGCTAAGTTATGTTCTGCTTAAAATTTTCAACAGTTCCACATCCAAATTCCATTACTCAGCACACAGCCTTCACTGGTCTAAAGATGCCTTTCTTCCTAATGCTTTTCTTTCCCCCACAATTTTCACCACAAGGCCCAACACTCCAGAACTTAACTATGACTCACTACAGTCTCCAAGCTGGATGAGTCCTCCTGCATTCATCTTCTGAGCTGGAGGGTTCTTGGACCTGTCAGGTGCCAGTTCGAGTATCTGTTTCCTGTGCAGATTTTTGAGATTGCCCCAGGCAGCACTCACCAAGCACCTTCAACCTGATGAACTGTCTCCTCACTCACTCCCACCAGCCATGAGGACCCTGTGTGCACAGAACACACCAGCCACACTCACTCCAGGCCACTTATGTGGCCTGTTCCCATGGGCAGCGCACACGACAGCAGCTGACAGTGCTGGGATGCAGGAGAGATGCTAACAGTAAATCACGAGATTTCATCACATGGAAAAATTATTTTCATTTCTTCGTCCTGGTCTTTGTATTGGAATTATCAATATATGAGAAGATGGATACAGCTGAACTTACTGTGTGTCATTTCCCAACATATATTAACCAAATTCTCATGCCACAAGCCTAAAACTTACACAGTGATGTGCATCAAGTATTTCTCAGTAAAACTGGAAGGGAAAGGACTTGCATCTCACACGTCACCACTCAACTAACCCCCTACGCCCTTCACCCTTGTGTAGATGTCTTCTTCAGGATGGACCAACCCGCACGCCCACATAATACAGCAGCCTGTCCTCACTCCCCAGCACATTCCTCATCTCTGATCCCTGTTCTGCTTGGTGTTTTATTCTCTGAACATTCCAGCTTCATCTACAATCTGTTAGTTTATTATGACTGCTCTATTTCCCACTTGAGAATATAAACTCACAAGGTGAAATATTTGTCAGATTCACTGATGATTCCAAGGTAGTTTATACATAGCAAACACTACATATTTGTGCTGAATGAATGAATGAATGAACCTCCCTTTTTCATATGTAGAAGAGACACCCTTCTCTGGCTCCTTCTACCATTTGAAAGTGAAAGCTGAAATGCAATCCCAGGAGACTCCACCCTGCCCTCTGGACAGTGCATCCTGGTTATCAGCAGGGAAACATCAGGGTCAGAGGAGCCAGCAGAGGGAAGGGGAAGGCACCCTGACACCCCTGCAGGCACAGGGGAGGCACCCACCCAGAACCCACTGTTGATCACCCATTATGCCCCAGGCTGCTTTGCTCCCAGACCCAGAACTAGGGGTGAGTGTGGGGCCCAGTCAGGACTGACACTGAGCCCCGTGCAGGGTTCTGCCTGTGCCTGATGGTGACCACCCCAATGACCCCATGGCAGCTGTCACCCCACATGGCAGGGCCTGTGAGGAGCTCCCAAGGGGCCTATTTTCTTCTCCCCTCAGCAGCTGAGCCAAGAGCCCCACACCCTGGATGCCAGGAGTCAGCACTGGGCACCAGGAGCTTCCAGGACCTGGTCCTGCCCACAGCGCGTGGATGGGGCCTGTGGCTTGCTCAGATGTTAATGTCACCCAAGACCTGGTCACAGTGACCAGACCCTGTCCCTCCAGTACACGGAGTCACCAGGAAGGCCCAATTATATGTCTCCAAGGAAACCATGGAGCCTGGGCCTGCCCTCCCCCCTCACTTCCTGTGGTTTCCCCTCCTCAGTGAAGGGCACCTGTGTCCACCCAGTTATCTCTGCCAGAACCTCCAGGGTCATCTTCACAGTCCACTCCCCCACCCAGCCTATTTTCAATGTACTAAAAAGATGAAGATGTTTCTCAATTCATATCTCCCACCAGCATCCATCCCAAGCCATCCTCATTTTGTCCTGGCCAAGCATTAATCTTCTTGAGGGTTTCTCTGCCCCACCTCTAGCCTCACCTCCCCCAGTCCATTTCCTTCCAAGGTCATGACCCTCTCCAGTCAGCTCAGGTCAGCATCCTGTCTCATCCCTTCAGGGGATCCCTCTGCTTAAAGGAGGAGTGCCCTGGGCTCCCCCTCCCTCTCAGACCCTCTCCCATTGCTCTCCTTGGGCCCCCCTATGGCTCTGGTGACTCCTCCAATTCAGGAAGGTCTCCAGCCTCAGGCCTCCTCACAGTCCCTGATTCTCCTGCTGCCTCTGCTCCCCAAACCCTCACCTTTCAGGCCTCACTTGAAGTGACCTGCTCAAAGATGCCTACCCTGACTTCCCTTGTGAAC